TGGTATTAATTCGAAAGTTTGGATGTATGGATGTTTGGTTTCATGTAGTGCACAACGGGTGAACGGATCTGAATTATATTTATAATAAATATGATTACTAATCATTTCTTTGTTACTTTACGAACATTACGCTTACTTAATGGCCAGTGATTTTTCATTTGCTGTCGTGGATACGGTAAGACATTTACGGAATAGACGTTTATACGCCAATTTGTACGCATAGTGTGACTGGAACACTGCTAGTTATAAAAAAGCACATAATTATAAGCTTAAATTTAGAGTGCCCCTTCGATCCCCGGCGACACCCATCATTATATCACATTGCAATCTAAGTTACAGTTATAACTTTAATTAATTACGTGGCAATTTGATTATTATTTTTATCTTTTCTATGCACGATTAGGTAAAAAAGAATACAATGTAGACAACTATAAGATAATTTAAATTCGGACAAAATAAAAGTTATGCTTCACAAAATTAGGGTAAACTGAAACTGATCACATCTATGGTTTTCTTTGCACCCCCGAATAGAGAGCCCTGAGGGCGGGCATCTGCTGCTATACTAGTACAGCAACCTTGATATTATGTTTGTTGCAGGCAGCCAATACGGTAATACCAACATTTTATTGATTAGCAAAAAATCCGGAGAAGCAAAATAAGTTGAGAGAAGAGATATTGTCAGGTTCAGAAAAGAGACCATATTTGAAGGCTTGTACTCGTATAAAGGAAACGATGAGAATGATGCCGGTAATATCTGCAAATTTGAGGCTAACAACTAAGGAGTACAACCTCCTTGGTTACCATATACCAAAGAATGTAAGTACCCATGAAACATGAGTGACTGCTTGTTTAGCATCGTGGGTTATAATATTTTGTGTGAACAGAACCCAAATTAGAACAAAACATGCAATGTGTGATTTTACTTATTCCAATCACTTTTAATGTTTTTACATCTTAAGTTAGAAGCCTTCTAAGGTGCCCTTGAAACAACACCGTTCAAAAGTAGGAACTTTGAGATGTTATTACATTTGCTTATTTTGCGTCGAATAAGTCGATAAGCGTTTTTCATATTTATAGGTCGTCGCATAGCTGAGTTGGAGATGGAAATTTTCATCGCTCGAGTCGTTGAAAACTTCCAAATTGATTGGTTCGGTGCACCTTTAAAGCAGTATCAGAGCACATTGAATTGTGTAAAAGGGCTCTTTAATTTTACTTTTAAAGATATCTAATCTTACTAATATTATAAATGCGAAAGTTTAGATGGATGGATGGATGGATGGATGTTTGTTAGCGTTTGTAGTCTAAACGGCTAAACGGATCTCCATGAAATTTGGCACAGGTTTAGAGCATAGTCTAGAAGAATACATAGGCTATTATATATTTATCCCGACAATAGTTACGGTTCCCGTGGGATTCATTAATTTAGTTTTTTAATGTTTACACGATCATTCTACAACGGTTCAACATATCTTATTGAAATTTGGCACAGATATAAAACAAAGTCTGGAGTACACGTGGGATAAGCTTCATCCCCGATAAATGTCCGGTCCCCGTAATTTATATAGTTCGTATGTTTTCTAATACCACGCGGACGAAGTCGCGGGCAACAGCTCGTGTCTGAATAAATATGCGATAGTACCCAATGTACTTATATATCTATACTAATATTATAAAGAGGAAAAATTTGTATTTTCGAATATATTAAAATAACTTAAAAACTACTGGGCCGATTTAAAAAATTCTTGCACCGTAAGACAGATAGTTTATCTGTGAGTCTGTGAGTAAGATAGCATATGTTTTTTTTATTTTTTTAATTTCACGCGGATGATTTCGCTAGCAACAGCTAGTATACAATAAAATGATTTTTCTGTTCAAGAATGAATAGGTGTTAAGGGAAATAAAACAAGTTTTTTGTACAATACTGGTTTCATATTCTCATTTACTAAATAATAAATAAAAAATGAAATTACATTGTATTACAGAACTAAAAACAAACAAAGTATAGGAAAACATTGATAACATTGTAATAACAAGGTGCCTTGAATTCTTAAATGAACAGGGGATGGAACTCGAACGCAGGACAACCAAATCAACATTCATTCATATTATTGAAACGAATACAATTGTGATAATTTTATCAATTAGTAGTTATCTATACTATTATAATAAAGCGTAAACACACACTTCTTTGTTGTCTAGGATGTCAGGAATTCAGCATATTTTTGAATAATTATTTTTTTAATAAAAGGCCCTACATTTACGTCACGCTTTAGTTTATATGTTTTCACGCCATTAAACTTAGGGGGTAAATGTTTTGGACAAAAACCCTAATATGGGAAAGAGAGCATAGGTTGCTGCCAACATCAAGGAAGGAAGGTTGCCATGGTTTGTCATCATGTCATGTCATTTTGACATTGGCAATTAATAATTTGACACATGTAAACAATATAATAATTTTTTTATAATTTTGCGCGGATGAAGTCGCACGGGAACAGCTAGTAAAATATTAATTAGAAAAATAATGTTGATGTTTTTTAGTGCAAAATTATTACGTGTCTAGACATATTATATGATTTTTTAAATAATATTTGAACAAGAACTTTAAATTTTAAGAAATACAGACAACATTAACCTCTTCAAATCAAACATCGTTAAAGACAATGTTGTAAGGCCCAATGTTGTGATTAGTAACACTCTGTAACGTAGGCATTGGCTTACCGCGCCATTCTAATCTAAAGTTTTCTATAACACTGCTGATAAATAACTCCATTACCATATCGGCTACTTTTCGACCTGAAATTAAATGCTAGAATTATCGTCTGCAACATCTAATATTGACCTCACATTAACTTTCTGTTTTTGTCAATTATTTTACCAGAGCATGTTGACATTTTTTTCAACACATCGTTGTTAATATTAGGTTAAATGGTTTCCCTAAGGCATACCCATTTTATAAAAAGACATAATGAAACTTACCTACGCAGCCCCGAGCTCCATAACCAAAGTGCACAGCGGCATTAGGATGTGCGTTTCCATGGTACAGCGGATGATCTTGGTCAACTAGCCAGCGCTCAGGAATATACAGATGAGGCTGAGGATATTGTTCCTCCCTCCGAGACATTTGCTCGTGGCAAAACAATATCATAGTCTGGAAGAAAAGGACGCACAATAATTTAGTACGTATAGTTGTAACCCGATCTATGAAGATATTTGTCACTATTTTCAGTTCTTCTAGCGTGTAAGGAATAGTATCTCAATTTAATAAACATGTTTCCTTCATAAAATAAAATAAATGACATCACAATTTCTCTTTTTACGAAAGCGAACGTAGAGCGAGGCCCGTTGGTAACCGACTATCGGTTGGGTCCCGGGACCGACCACGTGTAGTTAATGCGGCAGTGGCACAGATACAGGAATCTCGTTTAAACTATTGTCGGGACACAGGTCACGGTGTTACGGGTTATTCCAAATGCCGGGAAATACGCTGGCATACTCGGCTCAATATTGCAGGTCACCGGTCTTGATGCTATGGTTGTATGGGAAGTCACCTCGTTTCTCACTGCCACTATACTCATGCATGCGTTCAATGTGGAGGTAGGCACCATCATTTACTTTGTCGTAACCGTAACGGGTTTCCCTCAGTCCACTCTCAGGGACGGGTAGGTTCTTCTGTAGCAAGTAGGGTTCAGTTATTCGTTTTGTATCAACGATTTGTGCCGTAGACACGGGTACGGGTCCCGCAGCACAACCTACCCTTAGATTACGAATGGATTGGAGGGCATAATATTGTAAACTGAGGGGATTATGGTAACGCATCAGCTCGATGATCGCATAACAACTTGCAGGTGCCTGGTCTCTGTCAGTGTCAATCGAGTCAAGTCAGGTTTTGTCAAGTCTATAGGCGCCAGCGATGCTACTTGAAGATGCATCCGTTCAAACGCGAAAACGAATTTCGAGCGACCCCATTAACTAACCGAAATTGGCACGCCCGTTGTGTCCTCGCGTTGTCGTACAAGTAACCACTTACAATCACTTCAATTCGCACACAAGGTCCCGACCGACTCGCTTTTTACCGCACACCTCTCCGCAAGATTTTCAATATCCCCCCCCCCCCCC